AATAATAAATTTGAATAATCGTAATATCCTTTGTTATATCAATTCGATTCATCTTAGGCTAATGACGTTTCCACCCCATCCATCCTCCTTCAATTAAACACAATGCATTTAATACGTAAATTTCACGAGATACTTACATGGCTCCTTGTGGCACTCTCATTTCCAGGCCTTCCAGTACCGGCACCTTGTTCTTGCGGGAGCCATAGGACTTGTAGCCTTGTTCCACCACCACAACATTTCCCCTTCCAAAGAGCCTGAGGGGAGGGGGAAAGCAGAGAGGGATGAGAGGAGGAAGGGAAGGGAGGGAAAGGAGGGGAAAGATGTAAATGGGGAAGAAGGGGAGGAAGGGAAGGGAGGGAAAGGAGGGGAAAGATGTAAATGGGGAAGAAGGGGAGGAAGGGAAGGGAGGGAAAGGAGGGGAAAGATGTAAATGGGGAAGAAGGGGAGGAAGGGAAGGGAGGGAAAGGAGGGGAAAGATGTAAATGGGGAAGAAGGGGAGGAAGGGAAGGGAGGGAAAAGAGGGGAAAGATGTAAATGGGGGAGGGGGGAAGAGGAATGAATGAGGTGGGTGAAAATGGAAGGAGGGAAAGGTATAAATTAGGGATGGATATAAATGAGGGAGAATGGTGGGGAGAATGAATGATATCGAGGAAGGAGGGGGAGGGGAATGAGGGAAAGTATGTAAATAGGGGCAGAGCAATGAAGGAGGTGGATAAAGGATGGAGGAGAACGAGGGATCAGATATAAATGGGGGAGGAGGAATGTAGGAGGTAGATGAAGGGAGGAAGGAATGGAGGAGAAAGATGTAAAGGGCGAAGAGGAATGAACGAGGAAAGGGAAGAGAGGGGAGGTATAAATGGGGGAAGGTGAATGAAGGAGGTCCATGAACAGGGAAGGAGAAGTCGAATGACGGGAGAAGAGGAAAGAAGGAAGTGGATGGAAAGGGGAAGAGAATAATAATAAAAAAAAACGATGAAAGCAGAATGAAAAAAGACTTAACATGTCGGCCCTGTGCCAAGCTATTCATCGCCCCGGGCAATAATACCCAGTGCCCACCCCTACCCCCCCATCTCCTCCTCGCCCATTACGTTTTGATAAGGTTATTACAACACATAATTATTCTGACATCTGTAAAATGCCAATGAGTAAACACCAAATAGTTCACTTCTTCTTATTTAGAATTCATGTGGCGTCCCCGGAGTTTAATATCCAAGGGAATCGCATAGTTTATCTAGTGAGTAATCAAGGCGTTGGAGGGAAATGGGGAAGATAATAGGGAGTGAGATGGAGAAGAGAGATAGGGTCGATAAAAGTGTGTGTTATTTATAAGGAAGAGGGGGATTTTAGTAACGGGAAAGAGAAAGAAGAGATAATACTATGGAAGTAAAAACAAGAAGAAATAATGGAAATAATAATTACACGAGACGAATAGAATATGGAAGGAGAAGAACAGAAAAAAAAACGCATTGATAACTTAGAACAATCGATGATATACGAAATAAGGAGAGAAAGAATAATGCTGATCATTTCACTTTGGAGGAAGATTAATAACTGTCAGATAAAAAATATGTTAATCCAAGTGTTCTGCCTCAATTACACTCTTTCGGCGTATCATAAGCATCAGCCATTATCATAAATTTCATAGAAGCTTCTAGGATAAGAGTTCTAAATATAATTGAGAGGTATCTATATTCTATAGCTACATTGAGTTATCTATATTCTTTTAACGTTATCCATCGACCTGCCTGCATACAAATTACGATAGGTCTCCTAAATAGAAACTGATGAACTGATTTCATTGCAAGAAAACTTACTTAAGCCCCGTTGGGTCCTGGCCATGTTCGGAAGACACAGCAGAGGCGACTCGCGCAATCCGATCTTTCGAACTCGTCTCCAGCTTGGTCAGAGTGACGTCACCGTTGCTCAATGACGTCACTGTGTTGACCTTCTGTTGGTGTGCCGAAGGAGAATCTCCTTTGTGCTCCGTAGCTTCGGTGGCGACGCTGGCTGGCGCAGAGGGAGGCGAAGTAGGAGGAGAAGAGGAAGTGGAGGAGGAAGGAGAAGAAGAAGAAGAAGTAGAAGCAGTTTGTCCAGCTTCGATGTCTGAATTTGTTTTAGGCTTGTATGTCTCGAGCTCCATCTTGGCGACGATGTGAAGGGGAGTGGGCGCTCACCCTAAGGGGAAGAGGGCGGTGGAAGCGTTAGAGGGAGAGTGAGGATTTTTTAAAGGGCGACCGTGACGTGGTTGTCTTGGTTTTCTTGTATATATGTATGTATGTATGCATGTATATGTATGTATATATATATGTATATATATATATATATATATATATATATATATATATATATATATATATATATATATGTGTGTGTGTGTGTGTGTGTGTGTGTGTGTGTGCCTATTATGTGATATACTGTGATAATAAGGAAATAGTATCAATAATGATAAGGATGATGATGGTAATGATTATGATAATAATTAAAAAACATAATATAACAATGATAATAATAATAATTAAAAAAATAATAATGGTACTACTATTACTAAGAATAATGATAACAGGAATAATAGTAATAATAGTAGTAACAACAAGGTTCCTCAAATAGTAAATCAGACAAAGTATTACCCAGCATATGAAAACTGATACCCTATTTATACACGAAGACTTAAACTGTATAGGTTCCTTTTCTGAAGCCTGGGATCACGGCAACTAAGACCTTAATATATGACAAAAGCTCAATTAAAGATAATGTTAGAAAAATACTTTGTTCAGTTATATTTTCGTTCTTGTTTATTAACATGAAACTGATATTTCTGCCTTTTTAAAAAATTCTTAAAGGATCCTCTCTTACACAGATATTAATCATATTTATAATCTTTATTAAGCAAAAAAAAGAGTCGCGGTCTTGCCCAGAAATACACGATTGAGACAGAAAAAAGTGACTTTAACAGACGTCTAGCAAAGTTCTGTATAATCACACCGCATAGCTCACACCTCGAAACCTGTTTTATTCGAAATGGTACTCAAGGGACCAAAATCATAAAATAAACGAAATATTATTTTTTTATAAGGAAACCACAACGAAGATAAATCCATTTTCTGATATCTTTACACACTCAAAAAAAAGTAAAACAATTATACACGCAGAAAACAGTTTGAAATTGAATACCTTTAAGAATGACAGTCTGTACCTATGATCCTTTACAAACAAAACAGAACTACCTCCGAACATGTGCGCAAGGGCGAGTGTCCCGAAGTGATTATTTTATCTTATCAGTTCGTCAGAAGCACATCACGAAGATTAATTTCTGGCGATTCTAGTTGCTCTGGGCTTGAGTTTACCTATTTTCTTGATTTCCTTTTAGTTCATCATGTATTTCTTGAAGTGGTATCAAGTCTTTAAAGTAATAAATCAAAACAATATTCATGGAATCGGAAAATTGGTTATCAAGCGCGGCTTTTCATCGCATTGTGTGGTCGACAATGAGTCATTTATTGTACCGCTTTTACAAGCACCAATAAGTGTGTACATGCATACATAAACAAGCAGAAATTTATCTGCATTCGCACGCACGCACTGGAACTGTGCAAAGTTAAGGCAATATTACAGGGCAGTATGCACTGCCTCACCCACCTTGTGACAGCCACTATCGTATGAGAGAAATGAGATATAGGAGGTCAAAGAACACTGTCTTGGATGTATTAGCACTACATAAGTAATCTGGAGAGCAGTTGATGTCTTTATCTACTTTGTTTACTTATCTGTCTCTTATCTCTTTCTTTTATCTATCTTCATCATGAATTGAAGTTCGTTCCTGACCGTGCCACGACCTTCGTGTCACTATATTAGCGACGGGAGGTTATGCAAATGGTCAGGGACGCTTTGCCTTCTAACGCCCTATGACCCCCACAGACTCTCCAGGCCACTGCCGTGACCCCTAGAATGGTGAAATTCGCGTAAAGGTATGACAAGATGGGAAGATCTATTTGTACTGAAAATGCCACACCACGAGAATTGCCACGGGACAGCTCAGCAAATGCCAGAGCATTTTAAACCCGCTATATCTTTTTTAAGTGTTTTCGTTCATCTTAACGTATATGGTTTTCTTTTAATTATCAAAGAATTGTTTTCTCTGAATGAGGGTCATTTCATTTAAATTTAAATTCAGTTGTTTCTCCTCGATATAAACACTAAGGTTTCCCAATCCCCAAGGACACGGCGGTGCACATGCTCTTATGCGTACAAAATTCTGGTGACCACGGTAACGTAAAGTAATCAGTGATACTGCGTGTTTTATCTCCGCCTGTGATGTGTCGAAATAGGACCCGTGATCAAGGGCCAAGGGCTGACTCTGGGCTGACCCGTATTTCCTTATACGGAACAATCACAAGGTATACACACAATCACATATGTATGCATGTATATATCTATCTATCTATCTACATCTCTCTCTCTCTCTCTCTCTCTCTCTCTCTCTACACACACACACACACACACACACATATATATATATATATATATATATATATATATATATATATATGTGTGTGTGTGTGTGTGTGTGTGTGTGTGTGTGTGTGTGTGTGTGTGTGTGTGTGTGTGTGTGTGTGTGTGTGTATGTGTGTGTGTGTGTGTGTGTGTGTGTGTGTGTGTGTGTGTGTGTGTGTGTGTGTGTGTGTGTGTGTGTGTGTGTGTGTGTGTGCATTTATATATGTATATATATGCACACACAGACACACACATATATGTATATATATATATATATATATATATATATATATATATATATATATATATATATACATATATATATTATCACACACACATTTTTTTATTTGTTCGCATAAATTTTAATGATTAGCACTGTATCTTTCTTCAAGGCTATTAAGTTTGGTTATCAAGTGGCTATATACTTCATGTGTTGAAATCATGGGACTGAACAACACTATCAGTTTAAAATTAGTTTCATAACGTTTGAGGATCTTTTTTTTTTTTTT